TGAATTTGTTAAGACTTGCTTTATGGCTTACTATATAGTCTGTTCTTATAAATGATATATATGTACTTGAGAAGAATGTGTAGTCTCTAGTTATTTGGCATAGGATTTTATACATGGTCCTTAAATTTTCCATATCTTTACATTTTGTTCCTCAAATCTCCCATATTTTTATATTTTGTATTAGAAAAAAAAGGAGGGAGGTGTGTAAATCTTTCACTCTGACAATAGCATTTGCTACTGTAGTTCTAGCATTATTGCTTTTTATCAGTTAAGGTACATTTAGTATTTTTATAAAATTTAGTGGTAAACTTTTTCTAGTAAGAAAACGTTTTATCATGATAACTCTCTTTATTCCTCATAACACAGTTTTGCCTTAAGGTCTGTTTTGTCTGATGTTAATATATCTACTTCATCTTTGTTTTCATTTCCTTTTGCTCAAGTCCTAGGTATCTTTCTTGTATCTCTTTTTTTTTTTATTTTGAGTTGGAGTCTCACACTGTCACCCAGGCTGGAGTGCAGTGGCACGCTCTCAGCCACCCCAGTGTCAGCCTGCTGGACTCTGGCGATCCTTCCATCTCAGCCTTCCAAGTAGCCGGAACTACAGGTGCATGCTACCACGCCCAGCTAATTTTTTAAAACATTTATTGTTTATTGTAGAGATGAGGTCTCACCAAGTTGCCTGGTCTTGAACCCCTGGGCTCAGGCACCTCAGCTTCCAAAGTGCTGGGATTACAGGCTGAGCCACCGAGCCCAGTCTTTCTTTCTTTCTTTTTTTTTAACATTCAACCTTTGTATGTCCTTAGGAATTTATTGTGCCCGTTTTAAGAAACATAGCTGAATTTTTCCTTTCCAACCAATCTGAAAAATTTTGTCTTTTAACTCTCAGTGTAGTTCATTTGTATATATCAGGTTTATTCACATGTTTAGATTTATTTCTACAAACTTTTGTTTCTTTAGTTCCTATTTGTATCCAGGTGTTATTTTTCTACTTTCATGGGTTTTGTTTTGTTTTGTTTTGGAATAGATAAGAATATGTAATTTTTAGGTTTTTCTTACCCATTTCTTTTTTTTTGTACTGGCTTAAAAGTTATACATTCTGTTTCTCTTCTTATAGTTGTCATATTTGACATTTTACCATGCATACTTAATTTAGTAAAGTTTAAAATTAGTCAGTGTCTTTTGTTCTAAATAATATATGAATATTGTTGTCAATATTATTGTTTTGTTATTTTTGCAAGCATTAATCTCTACAAATATTTGGATATATTTACATTTTAACAAAATTCTTTGCTCCCTATTTCTCCATCTTAGTTGTCAGTTCTGGAATGTTATCCTTCTTGCCCCAAAATAGATTCTTAGTAGTTTCTGAGGAAAGGACTACTTTGTTTAACTGGAATATTTTTATTTGCCCTTGTTTTGTGAGAGATTTTTGATAATTCTAGATTAGCATTATTTTCTCTTCACTCTTTGGAGAAATTTCATCTCTGCAATTTATTTGCTCTGTGATGTTGATCAAGTGTTTTCTGGACAACAATAGCACCCATCTTATAGGGAAGTTGTGAAGAATATATATACATATGCTTCATATATACAACAGATGCACACATACAATATATATATACACATTGCTTAGTAGTGCTTCTAGCAATATTAATCACTACACAAAAAACAACCTTTCTTTCTTCTTTTTCCCCTTCTTACTCGTCTTATAATAATAATAATTATTGACTATAATGCCCTGCCTTGCTAAAATGTATCTAAGTATAAATTTATTTTTGTTACACTGTTTGTCTTGTTTAGTATATGTTTTCTTCTCAAATCTGTGGTTCTAAAGTTTAAAATTTTCTAGTTTCTGTTCATTTTAAACCTTTAATTATTTGACTTTGCATCTATCTCTTTATTTCTATTCTGGATTTGGGTTAGGAAAATATAATTTTTATTGTATCCTTTGTATTTTTTTTTTTTTTTTTTTTTGCGTTGGAGTCTCACTCTGTTTGCCCAGACTGGACTGGGAGTGCAGTGGCCACTCCCGGCCACTGCAGCCTCAACCTGCTGGGCTCTGGTGATCCTTC